CCCATCATCCCATACCCATCCCCCCCTTCTTATAGGGTCACAGAGTCATTAAGGTTGGAGAAGACCTCTATAATCAATTCCAACCACCAACCCATCCCCACCATCCCATACCCATCACCCCCTCTTATAGGGTCACAGACATTAAGGTTGGAGAAGAGCTCTACGATCACTGAGTCCAACCATTATCCCACCCCCATCACCTCCTCTTATGGGATCACAGAATCATTAAGGCTGGAGAAGACCTCTACAATCAAGTCCAACCACCAACCAGTCCCCATCATCCCATACCCATACCCCCCTTCTTATAGGGTCACAGAGTCATTAAGGTTGGAGAAGACTTCCACAACCTCTGAGTCCAACCACGATCCCATCCCCACCATTCCCACTTACAGGATCACAGAAGCATTCAGGTTGGAGAAGAGCTCTATGACCAAGTCCAACCACCAACCCATCCCCATTGTGCCCACCCATAGAATCATTAAGGCTGGAAATAAGAGGTTTCCCCATCCCACGTGTCCTGGTCTCTCCGTCTGGCTGGTTCCTTCCATGGGGGACATCATGGACTCACAGTTTGGGAGAAGAAAACAAGGGAGGATGCCTGCATGCAGTGAGATCTTTGGGGTGGAGGAGGATGCGTCAGTGGGTGCAGCCCCATCTGCTGCTGGTGGATGGACCCACAGCCTGTGGGGTTTTGGAGGGGCCACGGGGTTAGAGGGTGCTGTCCTGACCTTCATAGGATCACAGAACAGGTTGAGTTGGAAGGGACCTTCATAGGATCACAGAATCATTTGGGTTGGATGGGAGCTTCATGGGATCATGGAATGGGTTGAGTTGGAAGGGATCTTCATAGAATAACAATATGGTTTGGGTTAAAGAACCTTCACAGGATCACAGAATCATTTGGGTTGGATGGGACCTTCATAGGATCATGAAATGGGTTGAGTTGGAGGGGACTTTCATAGGATCATGGAATAGATTAAGTCGGAAAGGATCTTCATAGGATCACAGAACCATTTGGGTTGGATGGGACCTTCATAGGGGCATGGAATGGGCTGAATTGGAGGGGACTTTCGTAGGATCATGGAATGTGTTGAGTTGGAAGGGACCTTGATAGAATAACAGTATGGTTTGGGTTGGAAAGGACCTTCACAGGATCACAGAATCATTCGGGTTGGATGAGACCTTAATAGGATCATGGAATGGGTTGAGTTGGAAAGGACCTTCATAGCATCACAGAACCATCTGGGTTGGATGGGATCTTCATTGGATCATGAAATGGGCTGAGTTGGAAGGGACTTTCATAAGATAAGAGAATGGGTTGAGTTGGAAGGAACCTCCATAGGATCATGGAATGGGTTGAGTTGGAAGGGACTTTCATAGGATCACAGAACCATTTGGGTTGGATGGGACCTTCTTAGGATCATGGAATGGGTTGAGTTGGAAGGGACTTTCATAGGATCACAGAACCATTTGGGTTGGATGGGACCTTCTTAGGATCATGGAATGGGTTGAGTTGGAAGGGACCTTCAGAGGCCATCTGGTCCCACATCTCGCAATGAACAGCAGCACCTACAACTACATCAGGTACTCAGAGCCTTTCCGATCTAACAGTGATGTGGTCACAGCCTCTGTGTAACAGCCAGTCACCTCAGCTGGTGTAGACTTGCACGAGCACAGCACACAGGCTCTTGGTCACCACTGGTGAAATGGAAATGACTGCTGAAAACTTGGTTCTGTAGCTGAGCACTTGCTCTACCAAACAGTGCTACCGCGCTCCTCTCGCAGCTTCCACGGAAATAACCAGGAGGCATTACTTCCGGAGCGACCTACGGCGTGAGCTGCAAGCATCCTCCCACCCATCTGCTTCCGGGAGCTCCTTGCTTTTCCCTTCACACCCACCCAGGCCCCCCCACCACCTCCCACCCACAGCACTCACGGTCCGGCTGCGCAGCGCCTGCAGCCCCAGCTTGTCGGTCAGCTCGCTCACCGCCATGGCGTTGGGCATGTCCTGCTTGTTGGCAAACACCAGCAGCACGGCGTCACGCAGCTCGTCCTCCTGCAGCTATGGGGGCAGGGACTGGTGAGCTGCAGGATGCAGCTCTGCAACCCACCTCGCCTCCCGGAATCCTCCTCGGCTCGGGGCTGATGTTGTTCAGTGCTGTGAGGGTGAGTCGATCATCTTGAGCCCACAAATAAGGAGCGGCCCAGGAGCCCCACGCTCCAACCCTAATAGTGTGGTTTGGGTTGGAGGGGAACCTTCATAGGATCATTGAATCATTACGGTTGGAGGGGAGCTTCATGGGATCACAAAATACCTTGGGTTGGTAGGGATCTTCACAGGGTTGGAAGGGAACTACATAGGATCACAGAATCATTTGGGTTGGAGGGGAGCTTCATGGAGTCACAGAATGCCTTGGGTTGGTAGGGATCTTCACAGGGTCAGAAGGGAACTTCATAGGATCACAGAATCATTTGGGTTGAGTTGGAAGGGACTTTTCACGGAGTATTAGAATGGTTTGGGTTGCAAGGGACCTTCACAGGATCATTGAATCATTGGGGTTGGAGGGGAGCTTCATAGGAGCATAGAATCATTTGGGTTGCGTTGGGACCTTCATGGAGTAACAGAATGGT